GCATGCTCCCTGCTGGCCCCCACCTGGAGCATGCCATACGTTCTCAGACATCCTCAGGGAAGACCCCACTGACCAACCCAGTTTTCACCTTCCCCATTAGCTGCTGTCACCTGTCACAGCCATCCAGGTCCATTCTTTGTGGGCTGTCCTCCACTAGAATGCCAGTCCCCAAGAACAGGGGACTCTGTATTTGGGGTGTCTGAAACAGTTGACCTCAATAGTATCCATAGCCTCTGTTTTGATTTGTCTCAGCTATGCCCTCCCATGGCTGCTGACCCTCCATCCAGCCTGATTTAAGTTCTCATTCCTACAGCCTTCCCTCAGCCCATCCACTCAAGGAACCTGGCCCATGAGCTGGCAGAAACACGTTCAAACACCCTGTCCAAGGCACCCAGTCTCTCTGCCCCCTCAACCACACACCACAGCAGCACACTATTCCCCAGAATCCAGGAACTATCAGCTCATTTCAGGAGCAAGGGTCTTCTATGCACAGGCAAAACTTAGGGAAGGGGACATACCAACCATAACCCATCTTCCAAATGTGGAATTATATTGAGACCAAGCCTCTCCTGAAAACGCTTGCATTGCAGAATGCTCTCACCATTGAAAATACACACCACCATATCCTGCAGAATCCATGCTACTTCCAGGACTGGCTGGGTGAGGGGTGGGGGAGAGGTGTGCTTTATTTTTAATAAAATCAAAGTGGAAAATAATCCCAAAAATGCAAAAACAGAAACTCAAAAGGATCTCAGGGGTGTGAGTGGACTGGCCCAAGGCAAGATTTCCAAAGGTGAACTGATTTGGGGGCCCACAGCAGCAAGGGGCTTCTCCCAAATACAGAAGTAGGTTCATTTGCAGCAGGCCAGGTACCTGGGGGATGTGGAAGAGCAGGCTGGAGACACCTTTTGATAAGAGACTGAAGAGCCCTGGCCAGCACCTCTCAGGCAAACACTGAAGCCAAATCCCTCCCAGTGCCTTGCCTGGGGCTCCTCTCTGCCAAACCCTGGGAAGGACACAGCGTGCCCATCTGCAGTGGGAACATCCCAGGTAAAGGCAGGAAAGAGTGAGGAAAGGTGGGTTTTGCAGGCAGAGGGCCCATCTCAGGGCACCAGGGTGAATGTTTGGGTTTTTTTGGTAATCCTCATCTGAGGATATTTTTCCATTGATTTTTAGAGTGTGCAAGGGAAGGGGAAGAGGAAGATAGAGATTGAGAGAGACATCAATATGAGAGAGACAAAAAATCAGATGCCTCACATATTGCCCCATAGGAGCTGGGATCAAACCTGCAAATTAAAACCACAAAGTCATGCAGTCTCTCTTTCAAGGCCTTGGGCAGCAATACACTACAAGCCAATATTAATCAAAGAGTGATTTTCTAGCATTATGCTCTCCTTCCAGCGATTCTCAAACCGTGGGTCGGGACCCCTGAAAATACATCCTGCATATCAGATATTTACATTATGATTCATAACAAAATTACAGTTATGAAGTAGCAACGAAAATAAATTTATGGTTGGGGGTCACCACAACATGAGGAACTGTATTAAAGGGTCGCGGCATTAGGAAGGTTGAGAACCACTGCGATAGATCACAATTGTGCTTGAAAATCATTCCTGGAAGTGAATATATCCACAAAATTAAAGGAACAAAAGAAAAATCACCTTTATTAGAATATAATAAACCGGAACGAAGGACAGAAAACAGTTTGCAGATTGGTGAATTAGAACCTGAACAATTCTACAGCATAATGGGAGAACAACAATGTCCCTGAAACAGGCAGCACTTTTTAGCTGAGGATGAGTGCCCTGGATGAAGCCTGAATCAGGTGCATTACCTCGTCAGAGAGAAAGGAATGAAGATACTGCCAAGAGCTGGAGTAATCATAATGTTCTCAAGCACAAGTGAGAACACAGAATACATTTTCCCTGAGTCCACAGGGGTTGGGAATGACATACTCTTCACGTGAGCCAGGTGGTAGAGGTGAAATCTCTTCAGCCACAAATCAATCGGATAGTAGATCTGGGCGTGTTACCAAATGCAATGCAGCTCTTTCAAACCTCAGTTGTACCGGAAACTTATGAGGAATCTAGTAGAGTATATGTTCCATTAAAAAGGGTTAAAATTCAGGAAAATAGGTCCTAAAGAGTCTCCTTCAGTGTTGTTATTCTAAGTGAGAAAAAATAAAACTTTCCCTGCACATTTAACACTTCTCTCCAGTGTGAACTCTAAGCTGTGCACTTGAGGTGAGCACTTTGAAGAATGGACATCTCACAATGTCTACATTCATATGGCTTTTCTCCAGTGTGAACTTAGTGGTCTTGTTTGAGATAAGACTTATAACTGAAGGACTTCCCACAATCACTGCACTCATATGGCTTCTCTCCACTGTGACCTCTTGAGGTGGAAAGTGAGGTGATTACTTCGACAAAAGGACATCCCACATTGTGTACACTCAGATGGCTTTTCTCCAGTGTGAACTCTATGGTGTTCAATGAGTTTAGTTTTTTCATTGAAGAACTTCCCATAATCGGTACACTTAGAGGGCTTTTCTCCAGTATAAACTCTCTGGTGTTTAACGAGTTTAGTTTTTGCGCTGAAGAACTTTCCACAATCGGTACATTCATAGGGCTTTTCCCCAGTGTGAACTCTGTGGTGTTTAATGAGTATAGTTCTTATACTGAAAACTTCCCACATTCAATACACTCATAGGGCTTCTCTCCAGTGTGAACTCTGAGGTGGTGAGGTGAAACCTTCAATGAAAGAACATCCCACATTCTCTACACAAATACGGCTTTTCTCCAATGTGAACTCTGTAGTTGTCAATGAATATAGCTCTTTCTCTGAAGAACTTCCCACATTCAGTACACTCATACGGCTTTTCTCCACTGTGAACTATATGATGTCTAGTGAGGTAAGCCCTTCAACAAAAGGACATCCCACATTTTCTACACTCATAGAGCTTTTCTCCCGTGTGAACTCTCTTCTGTCAAATGAGGTTAAAGATCCATTTAAAAACTATACTAAATTGGTTGCACGCATAAATCAGTTCTCCAGAACAGACACCCTGACACTGAACAACTTTCAGGTTGTGGCTGGAAGCATTTTCACATTCACCCACTGGTGATGACTTTTTCCATCAAGAAATTCCTGTGAGCCCTAGCTGATTTGGCTCAGTGGATAGATCGTCAGTCTGCAGACTGAAGAATCCCAGGTTCGATTCCAGTCAAGGGCACATGCCTGGGTTGTGGGCTCGAACCCCAGTACGGAGCTTGCAGGAGGCGGCCAATCAATGATTCCCTCTCATCATTTATGTTTCTATCTCCCTCTCCCTTCCTCTCCAAAATCAATTTTAAAAACTGTATTTCTTAAAAAAAAAAATTCTTGTGAAATATCATTGGCACGGTGTAATTCTTTAATGTTGAGAGTGGCCTGGTGCTGGAGAAGCTCTGAGTTGTATTGCCAGTCTTCCCCAACCTCCCTGGTGGTTGAAGGCACCAAAGATGCGTAAAAGCTGTACCTACTCACAAAGGAGACCCTGTAAATAGCTTGTTTCCAGGACTTCTCTCCGCATTCACACCTCTGTTGCTGGTGATGGTTTGCACTGAAACAGAAGTCTCCAACACATGCATCACTATAGGAGGCTTTCTGTTCAAAGTATGCTGCATGTGACTCAGTCAGATGCAAAATATCTTTTAACACAGAGAAACACAGGTTACACAGAAGTGTCTCTAGGTGGCTGGAGCTCTCCTAGAAGACCTAACCTGTGATTCTTTTTGTACAAATACACTCCTCATCATCCATTTTATGCCAACAACCTGAAAAGTGAGAAATGGTGAGGAAATGAAGGTTGAATGTGCTGACAAGGGGAAATCCCATTGCAAAAGTGTGTAACATATCACACATTGGCTCACTGCAATTGTCTGAAAATAAGAGATGTGCAGGAAGGGTTAATAAGAGGCTCTCTTGACTTTCTGAGGTAAGGAGGATCACAAAATAGGGAGCAACAACAGAAATATGACACAAACACCGCAAGCACCAAATGGATTAGAATATGGATCTCCAGCAAATCCTTCAACTAATAGCGTTCAGCATGGTTTGTCTGCTGGATATGGGGGCGAGCTGTCTAAGAGGTTGGTTAGGTCTTACTGCAAGTAAAATTCAATAAAGGAATAGCTGGTTTCGAGGACTGCTAAGTACGTATGTGCACCACATAACACGTGCATGTCAATGTTGCAGATGATTGCAGAGGCACCAGTGCAGAGGAACAGGTGATGAAGAGGTGAGCAGTCATCACTGGGCCAGAGCTACACAGCTTGCTATAGTATTCAGGGAAGAGAATATTACAAACAATTGAATGAAAGCCTTAAAAGAACAGCCCATAGTTCATGTAAGTGAAGACCATAACATGACCCAGGTTGCCACAAAGAACCGTTACCCAGAGAAAGAGTGCAGAAGTTAAAGCCATGCATGTGGACACTGTCAGCCTCCCATGAGGAGAAAGTGCAAGCTGGGACCCATTAAGCTCACTGCAAGACTCCTGATTCTGTGACACTTCCTGTACTTTTTTTTTTTAAATATATTTTATTGATTTTTTACAGAGAGAGGAAGGGAGAAGAACAGAAAGCCAGAAACATCGACCAGCTGCCTCCTGCACCCCCCCCCCCCCCACTGGGGATGCGCCCACAACCAAGGCACATGCTCCTGACCAGAATCGAACCCAGGACCTCCCAGTCCACAGGCCGACGCTCTATCCACCGAGCCAAACCAGTTTGGCCTTCCTGTACTTTTTGAGGTAATGGGTGTTAGGGATGTTCATGGAGTCCTTTGCTCTGGACTCTCCATCCAGCTCATCTCTGGCAGCCACAGCACATTTGACAGGGCAGTGTGGGAAGTGAGCAGAGGCCATGTTCTGGCTGTGGGAGAGAGCAAGCTACGGCTGAGGAATAAAGGAAGAGAGGTCATCACCTCAGGACATTGGGAGAACGTGAAGGTCTTACCCACAGATGTCACAAGTGCAAACACTTCCAGCATCGCATCGCAGTACAGAAGTCTCTGAGCCTCATCAAGTAGGTCCCATTCCTCCTGAGAAAAGGCAATGGCCACATCCTCAAAGTTCATATCCTGTCAAAATGGGGACAGTACAGCCCATGATCAGATTCACTCCTACGATTGTAAGTCTGTCATACTCCCCACCCTCCACACCCATCTGCTCTCTCCACTACACATCAGAGAAAATACCAGGCCTCGATCCCATGAAAGCCACTGTCTTCTTATATTCCTACTGACATTTTGTCTTCCCACAAAAATAAAGGCAGCTGAGGAGGTAGAGCACACCAGAGCTCGGGAGGCTCCCATGTACGCCACACTGACTCTTATCAATAGAGTGGGTGTCAAAATCATAGGTTAGAGAGATGCTGGCCATAAAGAGCGAGTAAGTGATTTGATGCTGGTCTTGTCAGGCAATACCCTCTTAGTCCCTCAGATTGTTTCTTAAAGACACCAAACACATGGCATCACACTTCACTCTCTTGACCCCAATCCCAAGGTGCTGAGGCCATCGCTTTGCACTACCTGCTGTACATAGTTTCTTGAACAACACTCCTCTCACACAGCTTCATTCCCAGAGGCACAACTTCAAATGTAATGCAAATTTGCTGTGGCGAGGACAAATTGTTTCCTAATCATCTTTTTTACCAAAATTATAGTTCACCACATCCATAATCTCTTACTCCTTACCCTTCTCCCTTACCCATTCCAGTGGAGATTTTGAAGCCTGGGTAATACTGGTGTAGGCTATCTCATTCCTATCAATCTGTGTGTCACCCCAACAACAAAAGGCAGGTGGTTATTTAAATGGCAACGAAGCTCTGTACCTAGAATGTAGCACCAAAACACCCCTCTTTATCGGCAATTATAAAAGTCACCTCATGGATCATCCAGACTCCACCAGAGATGGATTCTGCTGTCATTCACTCCTATGTCTATGTCAGGGTGCCGTGGCCATGAATTCACACTCCCTCTCCAAGTGCACATCACTCTTCACCACACCTCTCTCACACTGCACTCCCACAGCCCCAGCCCCCAGTCCTCTCTTTGGCCTCTTACTTATTACTCAGCATGTGTTGTCCAGAGAATGCTTGCCAACATCTCTCACTTAACCATCACCCAATTCCCAACCCCAGTGGCCCTCTGCACCAACCCAGTGAGTCTCACAAGTAACCACTCAAGCCTCTAAACTAATCCACAAGATTGACTGTAACTTCCCACGTATAGGCCACACCACGGGTCACATCAAAATCCTGGTGAATATTTAGAGAAGTTAATATGTACCAGCCCTAGTCTCACTTTGTTGGAATAACTCTTCAGCCTCTAAATGATATCAGGTCCACTCATCTTTTAAAGGCCTTGGCCACTGCAAAATGATTACCTCTCCCTGACACTCTACATGACAACTTCTATCTCTCTGCTGTGTTGTGATACCCACCTTCCACAGTGGCCCCAGCAGGAAAGCTAGACCTCAGGCTCACACTGTCCCTTCTGAGCTACTACTACTGTTACCAACCTGACCATGATTTCCTATATTAAAGTGATCTACAGTCCTGGCTGATGTGTCTCAGTTGGTTGAGTATAGACCCATGCACTCACTGGTGAGGTCAATGTTTGGTTGAGGGCTGGATCCAGAGTAGGAGTTGTGTAGGCATCAACTGATCCTTGTTTCTTGCACGTCACTGTTTCTCTATCTCTTTTCCTCTCCCTTCCTTTCTACATCTAAAATCAACATACACACACACACACACACACATACACACACACACACACATATCATACCTGCCGGTTCGTGAATTAGCACACTCTTCACTCCAAGCCTTTGCACATTCTGGAACCTATGCTCTGGAGGACCTCCCACTCATTACACTGGTTGCCAAAATCAACGTCCACTCCATGAACCCCTAGCCGTGGCCTTAGGAATCTGGGCTTAGTGTCTGTTCAAAGCTCCCAAGTCAAAGGGCTACAAGAGCGGCTAGACAGTTCTAGGACACCACTCTCTCAGAGGCCACAGTGTGTGAAGCCCTGAAATAAACTCCACAAACCGATACACCTAATTGATTATGCATTTGCAGGAATTTGTGGAAAGAAAATGGTCTGTTGAGAGCCTGGCAACCGGCACCAGGATCTATGGGCTCAGACTGTTGAATGCCCTTGCCCAGCCCTGAGGCCAGGTGACCTCGAGATGCCTATATTATCTCAGGGCTCAGTCCTCAGTGCTCACTCTTCCTGGTGGCAACTGCTGTCCTCTGTCTTCTAGTCTGTCCTTCCTCTGAGCAATGTTAGGAAAAGTTAGAACCCTACCTCAGAAAATGTCCCTCCTTTTTTCACAACCATCTATTGTTAGGTCTGATCAAATAATTGAATTGATACCCTCTCCCCTGGGAACTGACCCTTTGGCCACTTCACAATGGACATTCCACTTGCTTAGACCACATTCTACTTGCTAAGACCATTCTCTCTCCCCTCTGGAGATTCCCAGAATCCAGACCTGCACAGAGAATTCTCCACCCAGAAAAAGCCTGCCTAGAGTCCTTTAAAAATCTCTGACTCCCCGTCTTTGGATGCTGGTGCCATTTTGGGGTTCAGCCTTTCTGGTTATACAGATGACCTAATCTATAATAATAAAAGTGTAACATGCTAATTAGACCGGACGTCCTTCTGGACGAAGCCAGGTTTGTGAGGGAAGCTTGGGTGCAGGGTGCCTGCCGGCGGCCATTAAGAGGGAAGCCCGAATGCTGGCAGCCAGGGGTAGGGAGGCCTACTTTTGCACGAATTTCATGCATCGCAAATCTAGTAAATTCATAATTCTTCACGCTTTTTGGCCTCATACATTCCTCCTTCGGAGACCCTAACATCTGGTGCCAAAATGCAAGAGAGCTCTATGGGGATGGGGAGCCATTGCCCCAGCTTCGGTCACCCTAAGTTTGCTATTCGGAAAGCAACAGGCAGTGGCAGCTCAACCTGGGCTTACCTCCAAATACTATTCAGATGACTCGATTGCTTGCCTCGATTAGTCCTCTCTCCCTTATGGACCCTCCCGAGCCAGCCAAGGAGGACAAAGAATCAAACCCTCTTCTTCTCCACTGCTGACCCTCCATTCCACACCAGCCAATCTTCTCTAGGTGCGTGACAACCCACAATTTCCCTCATCTGGAGTCTTCTGCCCACTCTCTCTCACTAACTTCTTGAAAGTCTCTAGTCTCAAAAGTCCTAGAGCTAGGCCAGAAGACTCCTCAGCCATTTCGCTTTGGGTCCTTTCAGATTGGGGGCGCCTAGTCCAGAGGATCACCTCTCATGATTCATGGTTTAACCAAGGCGGCGCCTGCCCTAAACAATCACCTTTGGATTTGTGGTGTCACTCATCTTTTCTCTTGTGGGCCACGCCACACTCCCTTTGCACACTCACGGGGGAGACCATGCCCAACTAGCTCATTTTATTTTGTAACACTGTTTGCCCACAATATAAACTAGATGAGAAGTCTCAATGGCCTAAAAACGACACTTAATTTTAACGCATTGCACAATTCAGATAATTGCTGTCACTGCAATGGAAAATGGTCAGAAATTCCCTACGTCCAGTCCCAATCCTCTCTCAGTTCTGCTCTACCCATCAGACCTTTCTCCTTCACACAAAACATCATACCCCTAACACTTGATTCTGAAGCTACTTTTGAACCAGCAAACCACTGACCTCCATCTCCTTACACATCACTCCCCTCACCTGAGTAGATTCCTAAAACCCAGACCCTCCTAACTAGCAACCACCTTCTCCCCCAGCCCCTGAGAGCCCAAATCCCAAGAACTCAAGCTCCAATACAGCCTTTTCCCACCTAACATTTGCTCTCAGGCCACCCTAAGACTGCCTTTCTCAACAGCTGCTTCTATTCCTACACCCATTCTACTCCTGAGGGAGGGAGCAGGAACTGAGAGTATTGTCTGGGTACACATCCCATTTTCCATGTCCGACCTCGCACAGATTGAGAGGCACCTCAGGTCTTTTCCCACTGACCTGACCACCTGTACTAAGGAATTTAAGTACATGGCCCAGTCCTATGACCTGACCTGGCATGAGATCTAAGTCATCCTGTCGTCCTCTCTAACCCCAGAGGAGAAGGAGCACATCTGACTAGTAGCTCAGGACCATGGTGTGCCCTCCATATACAGGACTAGGTGGCAAACCAGGTTGGCACTAATGCAATCCTCCAAACTGACCCAAGATGGGACTAGCAGGTCAATTCTCCAGGGTGCAAGCTATGTAGCCTGTCTCACTGTCAGACTCAAAAAGGCTGCCCATAAAGCAGTCAATGATGACGAACTTATTGAAATCACTCAGGGCCCTGATGAAAACCCAGCTCTCCTCTTCTCCTGCCTCACGGAAGCCTTACACAAATTTACCACCTTAGAGCCCACCTCCCCAGGGGGAGCCCTTCTTCTGAACACCCATTTTATATCCCAACTAGGGACCCGGTGCACGAAATTCGTGCACGGGGGTGTGTGTCCCTCAGCCCAGCCTTCACCCTCTCCAATCTGGGACCCCTCGAGGAATGTCCAACTGCCTTTTTAAGTCAGATCCTATTACTAGGGATCAGGCCTAAACGGGCAGTCAGACATCCTTCTCACAATCCAGGGCTGCTAGCTCCCAACTGCTTGCCTGCCTGCCTGCCTGCCTGATTGCTCCTAACTGCTTCTGCTTCTGCCTGCCAGCCTGAGCACCCCCTAACCACTCACCTGCCAGCCTGATCGACACCTAACTCTCCCCTGCCGGCCTGATTGCCCCTAACTGCCCTCCCTTGCAGCCCTAGGTCCCCCCAACTGCCCTCTCCTGTAGGCCTGGGTCCCTCCCAACTGCCCTCCCCTGCAGACCTGGGTCCCCATAACTATCCTCCCCTGCAGGCCTGGGTCCCCCCAACTGCCCTCCCCTGCAGACCTGGGTCCCCATAACTATCCTCCCCTGCAGGCCTGGGTCCCCCCAACTGCCCTCCCCTGCAGACCTGGGTCATCCCCAACTGCCCTCCCCTGCAGGGCTGGGTCCCCCCAACTGCCCTCCCCTGCAGGCCTGGGTGCCCCCAACT